AAAAAAAAAAAAAAAAAAAAAAAAAAAAAAAAAAAAAAAAAAAAAAAAAAAAAAAAAAAAAAAAAAAAAAAAAAAAAAAAAAAAAAAAAGAAAAGCGGAAAAAAAATTACAAGGGGTAAAGGAAAAAAGGAAAAAAGGACGGGGGAAAGGAAAAATGAAGAAAGCAAAAAAAAGGGGAAAAAAACAAAGGGGGGAGAGAGAAAAACGGCCTATCCTATCTAAAATGGGGATGATTCTAAACGGCCAAAAAACGGGTGGTCATGTCACGTATGCGATCATAAGGTAGAAAACATAGGTTATACAATTTTATTTTTCCAGGATACTCTCAGAATTGTCATTGTCGGAGATTGTGGTAGGAGCTAATCCAGTAGGATACAACATTTGAATCTTACCTTGGGGATGTGGGGATCGGAGCCAAATTGCCACTGGCCTAGCTCCTTTTTCGCTGAGCAACCCGTTCGATAGTATGGCGCAGCCGATTTCAGTTGTGCGATCATCCAGGTCGAGCAACCGAAATCTGCCGCGCGGATAACCATGGCCCTTGTGCAAGGATAACACGCATAAGTCGAGAGTGGTCAATTTTTTTTTTAAGCTCTAGTACCTTTGCTGCATGGGAAAATAGCAGGCCTCGGGTGGGCCTCCTACCTTTTTGAAGGCCGAAACGAAACGACGTCCGCCAATCAAATTTATCAATGTCAACCGTCGTCAGGCTTGGCCTCCGAATTTTGAGGAGTTTAGTAAAACGACCACTTTTCCCTATTTCCCCAACATTGGCGGTTTAAGGAGTTTGAGCCCAGCGGGAATCAACAGGCCTATATTTCACTAGCTCCTGGGGTGCACCTCGATAGCACTGGAGGAGGAATGTGTCGTTGGCTTAAGTCGACGGACCCAAAAAAAAAAAAAAAAAAAAAACTAAACGCAACATGTTGCGCTCTTTGGTGTTGGGAATCATAGCTCTGGGAATCATAGCTCCCAGCAGGGGCCCGTTTTTACGGGCCTCGGGTTCTTTTGGGGAAGTTTTTTTGTTTGTTTACTTCTTTCATTTTCCTTCCTTTTTTTTTTTTTTGTTCTACATACTTCATGGCCCCAATTTTCAAAACGGTTGGTACCTACCGCATTGAAGCATGAGGTAATGCACCTCCCCTAGAGAGCGCATCGGCTCCCGCCTTTATCGCGAAAAGATGAGAGCCCTCCCAACCACGTCACGCAGGAGTTGAAGAAAACAAAACAAAACAAGACAAACCTTAGGGACAACGCAAAATGGTCCCGAGAATCATCGAGATGGACGCGGTCACAACGTCCCATCGCCGCTCCAGCTGGGTGCAACAGCCGTACTTCTCGCGGTCCCCTACGACAGGATAGGTTCCCACGAGGCACAACTTACCTTCCCAAGGGGTCATGACCACCCTTAGGGACGTATCCGGACTGAGCTATTGACCCATATGCGTAGTCGACAAGGCATCCAGACCATCTAGATGAGTTGAGCCGCCAAAGCTATCCATTTCATTCCCATATTGACCGTTGAGACGTGAGCATCACCCCTTCTTTTTTGTCTACCCTGGGTCTAGCCTTCTTGTGGCGCAAACCCCATCCACGAGAGTGGCGCCTACGTGCGTCCAGCAAAAAACTAATTCTTCATTTGGTCGGGCTTCTTGAGGCGTCGATCTCCCATTTGGCGATGGCACCTAAGACGACCACCTTTAAGGTCACTATATCGGCCCTCACCTGAGCACAAAACTCGGATCACAAAAGTAGGGTCGTCTCCACTGAATCAGTTGAGTACGTCCCCAGGGGCGGTGCCTTAAAGCAACCAAACGCCGCCCAAGATGCTTCCTAGAGAGAGGGAGTGCACCACCAACTCCGAATGGAAATTGTCCATCCCTTCCTCCCTCGCGGAGTGACTTAGACGAAATAGAGGCAAAGGAGTTAGATAATGAGAATTGTTTGGACAAGTACAGACGAGTTGGGTCGTTCGGGGTGCATTGGGTAATCCTTGGGATAAACGCTAAATCCAACTGATCTTACTTTTCCTTGTTCACGGGTTCCTTTTTCAGCACCCGTTGAATTTCCCCACTTCAAAAAACAAGTCCTTTTGACTCGCATACAGGTGAAAGGTTGAATTAAAGACTATCCTTTTAATCATCCCATGTAGACACCATCACTCCTTACTTTCGCAAACATACTTCCAAGCGAAACAACAAGTTCAAAGGGATCCAACAGAGACCTATATCCAAGTCAGACCTCTCCTTTCACATGCATGACTCTCACAATCCTACTCTACCTTTTCATTCAAAACGAACATGGTTAAGCAAAGTGTGGGCACACACAGGTGTGAAGGGATGTCAGAGTCATTCAACTGACCTTGAATGAAGCAGCACTAAACGTGCCCCAAACCACTCAAGAAAGCCAAGTTCAACAAAGTACACGGGTCGCTGAAGTAGAACCGCGGTCCCAAGGCAAATCCTAAGGCAACCCGTAGTCCCAATCCACCTCTAACTCGCACGTCTCATGCACGGCAAGTCCAAATGGGGGAACCCCAAGCTGCACATGTCCAAAAAAACTCCCTTGCCCCACGTCAATCTCAGCTGGTCCTAGGCGGTTTCAAATGGTCCCGCACTACCTCCCACAACACCAAATGGTCCCAACCGTTGAAGCCACTCGAGTCCCGCACCTCAAAAAAAATAACACTGGTCCCGGGTGCAAAAAACGCATGCACCACAAACCCCAACAATCACCACATCGAGCGCACGCACTCGAAGTAATCCCGCTGGTCCCAAGATAACCCGGCAATGCCATGAAATGGTGCCAACAGTCCACGAGGCGTGCACAACCGTAGTAAAAAAAAATAATTCCCTGCAGTTCCCTAAAATTCGGCACTTGAACACTGTCTAAAATGTGCACCGGTGCTTGTACCGCCTCTAGACTACGCCGGACCACTCAATTCCCGACCGTCGTCTGGGTGCCGCTCCCAAAAAAATAGCGTCGGGATCACCACTCGCTGCGACGTCAAAACCGGTCCCACGGCTGCCCAGCAACAGCACCACCTGACCACACACACACAAACGGTTCCACTGCGCCATAAAAAATTGTCCTCACCTCCCCTCAATTCAATGTCGTTGAACGCGTCGCAATCCCGCAGCATAGCGCCGCTAAAACGAATGTCACTAACGCCGCAAGAATGCAGCAACATATCCACTAAATGGGGATTAGCTTGCCCATTTAGTGGATATGTTGCTATCTGGCATAACCCCATGAAAAATGCAGCAACATAACCCCATGAAAAATGCAGCATTCACCCCATGAAAAACGCAGCATGGTGGATATGTTGCTGTCTGGCATAACCCCATGAAAAATGTCGTTGTCGTTATGCCAAAAAGTTTGTAGCATACACCCTCAAAACTGAGGGTGCAACCTGTCGCGCGCGCACAGCCCACCACCAACACTGGTTTCAAAGACAACACTAGCCTACGCTGCAACAAGGTGATGCAAGCTATGGGTATCGCTGCCTTGGCTCCACCTCCAACTCCCTCGCAGACCACCAGCTCCTCCAGCAGTTCACCTCCAGCAACTCCTCCCTCAAGTTCAACAGACCCCAATGCCCCAGCAGCTCTGTGAGGGTCGAGCACGACACATTACGGCTCACTGCATATCCATAACCTCATGCTCAAGCCACCGCTCCACCGTGCCTTTGCCCAAGTCTAGC